TCTGAACTTTTTGGGCTACTTGAACAGCAACCAACTTCTGTTTTTTTTAGGAAAAGAATTGTCTCCTGCACAGTAACCGGCTGGCTAAGTTTTGAAATAAAATTGTAAGAAGTTTTTTGATACCCATTTTTAAATAAAAAATTGATATCAGTTTGGGCAATGATTTTTTGCTACCAGATTGATACCTGCACATCTAAGGCAATCACTAATCTCATAATTTATTTGTTTTTGGCATGGACACAGCTTTGCGGCAAAAAAGTCAATACCATAATATAGTATTTTACTAATAAAGTTTGAAAGTAGTTTGTCGCTTTCGAGAATAATGACCTGAAACACTTTTCCTGCAAATCTCCATAATCAAACAAACTTCAACTGTAGGTTAACTTAAAGCACTTAAAAATCAATACCTAATTGAAAACAAAGATAAATCAATTTGATTTTTTTTGCATTATAAGGGGTTTCAAAATGGTTAATTTTAATCATTTTAACAAGGCTCCTCAAAGCTTTTCATTTATAACGCACAATATCTGTGGAGCGGGATGATTCGTCTCAAAGCTTCTTAAATTAGAATGAAACTTCTCTCACTGCGACTCGAAAAGTGTTGGAAAATGGTCAATTTTAACCATTTTGATAAGGTTTTTTCTACACTTTTTGATTTACAACGTACAAGATAACCGCAGCGTTTTTAGAATCATTAACCTCAGCTCGAAATTGTTTATTTGGATTTTATCAACTGTCTGAAGATACTTTTTGGTTTTCATGGAGTCACGCGTGCAGCAACTTCAAAATGGTATTTCAATTTTTAGAAAAAAATTTGAGTTGCTGTGCTTGATTTTGTCTGAAGTGGGTAGTATTCCCAAATAGGAAAAAGATTGATATACAATATCTAAATCAAAACTATCCAGCACGCGCCCTAAGGTTCAACGATGCAAGAACCTAAAAAATGCGAAACCTGAAGATTAAATCATAAGAATTCTGCAAAAATAATCTCACAATTCGGACTTATCTATGAGGAAACAACTTTCAAAATTATATTTGTTATTTTTATATTCTGTTTATCTTTACAGGTACAAAACTGTCATGTATCAGTTCGTTTGAGGATAAACAAATGAAAAAATTTTCATTCTCTGAATGAACGATCTCGGTAGCCAATTTTGAGTTAGGACCGATGTGGTTAACTCATAGAGTAATTTCGGATAGGGTACACCGTCTGCTCGTCACGCTATCTTATTTTCGGCCGGATAGATTCGTGCAACTTCTTAGTCTAATACCGCTCCTAATCTTACTCTTATACTTTCTAGTCTCAGGGTGTTTAACTAGTCTCTGCTAGGCTCAATAGATCTAGGGTATACTGGTTTGTTGCGGCTGCTGAAGTTCTCTTGGAGAGACAACTAATTTCTAAGTTAAATTCAAATCTCTCTGGTGCTGAAATTACAAGTAATTTCAGCACTTACAAATAAGTGGGTTGTTAGTTAGATGGATCAAGATTGGTTAATATTAAATACTTTACAGTGGTAAAATATCTAATTTATCCAATCATAAAAATTAGTTTGGATCAGGTTCCACCCATCCGGGTTTTACAGAGTTTTTTAGAATTATCTTTCTGCAATTCAAAGGATGGACGATGAACGTTGGTATTGGGCCAACATCGTATTCTTGTCCGGTTCCTCTTGTTAGAGAAGTTCCAGGACGCTGGAGTTGGGGGCATTAATCGTTGTGTCTTCTTGTGACAACGACTGTGTTTCCCAACGAAATCAATATGATTTCAAAATGGTTTGCTATGACGGGTTTTTCTGTATTATGTAGAGAACTTGTTTTATGTTCAACCTCGTCTGGGAATGGCGTGGAGATTGTGCGTGGAGGGGATGCCTTGTAACTCGGATCTGTACGTATACTTGAACATCGAGGTGGTCATTGGTCTAGTTCAATGAAGTCCTTTTCTGCGAAGTCAAGTCGTACTCTAAATCCTTTGAGTTGTGATTGTGGACTTCATATCGGTTGTGGTTAGCCCTTTTTGTTCGAGTGTAGTGGGGTCATTTTGTCTTTGGATGTTCGTCTTTGGTGTTGTATGCTGATCTATATACTGCAAGATATAATTTACATTTTAAAAAATTTTTTTTTAGTTCAGTTTTTTTATTATGAATTTAGTTAGTTGTTTTCACAAAAGCATTTTGTTTTAGTTCGGTTATTTTGAAGAGTTACTCGCCCTTGAGTACCTCTTATTAAAAATAAAAGTTTGGTCACAAAGCGTGGATGTAGCGCGGTGGGTTAGGCCGGCTATAGAGCATGCTCAGGACGTCCTCTCTGGTGGGTTAGGCCAGGAGTGGGAGTAAGATTTCGTGCGGTTTCTTTGAGAGGTCCTTTTATGTGATAATGTTTTATGTTGATTTTAAGTTGGTCTTTCTTATGTTCCTTTGGTTGTGTCCTTTTTTCAAAAATCAAATTGTTTTTGTTATGGGTTTGTCTTTCGACTTTTTTGTGTTTTATTATTTCTTTCTTAGACTTTATAATAGTCTTCAAAAGAATAAATTATCCAGTTTTAAACTGGGTTAATCCGGTTTGGGTACCGTTGGCTTTCTTTTCTTAGTCATGCTGTTATTTTATGATTTGTGATGTTTAGTAAGCTGCGTTGGTTAGTTTGGTTTAGTATATAATTCCTTTCCAACCGGGTTAAAGGAAAGTTTGAAACTTGTTATCGTGTGTTAGAGAGGTTAAGTGTGAAAACTTGAAATTGAAATTCATTGTTTAAACAATTCTTCGTGGGCGAGCTGTGCGAGTTTGGATATAATTCTTGTGCGAGTGAATGAAAATATCAAAAGGTTAGTACTGCATTTTCATTTAATTAATTTAATACATAGAATTTCAATTTAACTGCTAGTTTTGGGGAAATTTAAAGTTATAAATTTTCATCATATTTAAATTTACTGCTTTATGGGGGAATAATTTATAAATTAATTTACTACATTTGGTATAAATTTTATCAGATTATTTTGTGGAAAATATTAATGAAGTTTAGAATAATTTTAACAAGGTTTTATTTTTTATTTTTGTTTTCTGTTTTTTGCTGATGATCGTGGTATGAAGACTAAAAATCTAAAAGAAACATGAGTAAGGAATGGTTAGTATTAATTTAAATTTATTAGTAAAGAATATTTGAAATTATACTTACCTGTTAATCGCACCAGATGAGTTAGGACCGATGTGGTTAACTCATAGAGTAATTTCGGATAGGGTACACCGTCTGCTCGTCACGCTATCTTATTTTCGGCCGGATAGATTCGTGCAACTTCTTAGTTTAATACCGCTCCTAATCTTACTCTTATACTTTCTAGTCTCAGGGTGTTTAACTAGTCTCTGCTAGGCTCAATAGATCTAGGGTATACTGGTTTGTTGCGGCTGCTGAAGTTCTCTTGGAGAGACAACTAATTTCTAAGTTAAATTCAAATCTCTCTCTGGTGCTGAAATTACAAGTAATTTCAGCACTTACAAATAAGTGGGTTGTTAGTTAGATGGATCATGATTGGTTAATTTTAAATACTTTACAGTGGTAAAATATCTAATTTATCCAATCATAAAATGTAGTTTGGATCAGGTTCCAATTTGTTCAAATAAAATGTAACTTAGAAATATTTAGCTCGCGTGCTCTGGTACGTCTCCTTTGTATAAAAAAATGCTCTTCTTTGCAACGGTGGAGTCGAGATTTAATGGGTAACTCATCAAAAGTCTCTATAAGTTTTTTTTTCATGTTTTTTTAAGGATGAAAGGATCTGAAAAAAAGGATGAGAAAAAAGTTTAAATATTTTCATTGGTCACAGTAGCATAAGCAAATTGCACAATAGTTTTTTGTCGAAAAATAACAAGAACAAAAAAAATCAAAATTCAAAAAAAAGTTCAAAATAGTTTTTTTTTGCAGAAATGGTTTTATTTTTTAAAAGTTTTTTTTTCCATAAATGGCACTAAAAGCTTTCCAAAAACAGTTTTGCGAAAGTTTTATGGCTTATTTTTCTCTATTAAGCTTGCTCCCTTGCTTGAATCATTCGAAAATACACTAAAACTCGAAAATTCAAACCGGTTTTTCTCAACACTGGGACAACTTCTCAAAAACAATTTGATGGTGTTCGAATTAGGGTTGATATGCCAATTGACTTACTGTGAGGAGTTATTGTGGTAAATTTTTTGGCTGAATATCAAAAAAAGGCTGCTTGCTCACCTTGTTTGCTCGAAATTAGACTAAACATTAAAAATTTCGAACCGCTTTTTCTCGACACGTTTCAACGTTTTATTAACGTTGTTCGAATAACGACTGAAAAAGCTTTAACGCGATATATTACTCACCCCATAACATTGATAATTTGTTCCAAATGGTCGGAGCTAGGTGCAAATCTAGGATTTTCTCGTGGGGGTGGTATTTTAAAAAAAAATTCGAAAATTTTGTCGACCTTTTTATTAGGTGATTATATTGATTTTCCCAACTTCTCCAAGGACTGAAAAAACCGTGTTTTGGCCATATTTTTTGCACCGCAGGCACAATTTTTGAAAAACAGGACTAAAAGAAGGCGTTTTAAGGCATTTTTTGGAAAATTTTCACGAAAAAATTGAGTTTTTTCAGTACTCGCTTCCACCTCAAAATTAGTAAACATTGGCGCCCAAGGCCGCCGCGCCCTGTCAAATCCGCTACTGATCGGAACAATAAAAAATTTCTCGTGAAAGAAGAACATACAATTTTCTTATGAAAGGTTAACATGCAATTGTTTCTGAAATTCCAAGTGTCCAAGCATCGTTTTATAAAATTGATGCCTCAAACATTTTTAAGTTATTAAACGGTTATTAATTTTTTGTGGCGTTAATGGAATGAATCAGCAAAATCTAGAAGACTTCTGCGTAAATTTACGGGCCGTCACATTCTCTCGAGTTCAGCTTCTGTTTCCGACTAACTTATAGATGTGTTTTTTTTTGTTTCGTCCACTTTTGCTTCAAAGAACTATCAGCTTTATTGCAAATTAGAAATCAGAATTGTTAATTGATGGCAACTAATAAGTTATTTATAATAGTGTCTTATATATTCAGACTTTACAGACGTTTTTGATGATTTGGCTTTGAGATGGTTACCCTGTTGTTAATTGAAATGCTCTGGTCGAATTTAGATCAGTTCGTTTGTCTTTCACAAACTTAAACTGATTTGGTGTTCATGTCTCTCATTTCGATCTTGTCGCATATCTTCTCGGCGAGCATGGTGCAGACAGAGACCAGAGGGCCACTGGGTGCATCTGGGATGAGGGAGCTGTCAATCACTCTCAAGTGGCCCACTCCCCACACTCTGCCCTGGCTGTCAGTCACTGCCAGGGGGTCCGAGTAGCTCCCCATTCTACACGTCCCACTGTAGTACCCATGCGATGACGTCATCTCTCTTACGTAATCCTCCAACTCGTTGTCTGATTGGACATTGTTGTCAGGCAGAATCACAGTAGCTACATCGTCAGAAAGAACCTCGTGCTCAAACACTTCTCGTGCTAGCCGAACACCTTCTACCGCATTGTCAACGTCCCGCTGATCACTCAGCATTGCGTAATCTACCAGGGGTGGGTCGTCAAAATCATTGCTGGACAGAGTTACGGATCCCTGGCTGTAGCACTGGTTGGGTGCAACCATGATTGAGTATCCGGGTGTTTCGCTGTGGTCTTTCTGGAACCCGTTAGACTGTGGAAAGGGCCCAAAAATGGCATCTGACACCATGAAATTGACATTTGGTCTGTCGAGCTTTAGCAAAAGAAAAAACCATTACAAACAGTCTAAGCCAATTCACTCACAAACTCACAGTTGGATTTCTGAATCTAGATTAAACGATTCAATTTTTATGTTTTACTGGCTGGAAGTTTGGAGCGCAATAATTTGTTTCTTCTCATAAAATGGGTTCAAGAATTGAAATCATCAAATCAGACTTCTTATCATTGGAGAAATTTTTTGAAAAAAAAACGACAAAAATAATCCTTTTTCTGGAAGATCGCGATTAGAGGTTACTGATTCGAGCACAAAAAATGAAAAGCGAGGAGTTAAAGTGGTTTTTAAACCTTAATCGTGCTCGTATGCTGGTCTTTTCCGACCTAAAAAAATGTTCCCAACCATTAACAAATTGTAGGTGAACTATAAACTATGAGCCAGAAAAATCAACCTTGCAATCGAGTGTCCTACATTGACTATACGCCATCAAAGTTAGTTTGAATGTTAACAAAAATAGATGAAAGGGAAGCAAAAGAACAAAAAACATTATCTTTCTCGTAACACTGAAAACCCTTCTCTTACGTTGTCGTCGGTTTTGATAGACGCGGCAACTTGGATTCCGAACGAAGCGTGAGGTCCCGAGTGACTCACGAACCAATCACGGTTCGCCATCTCTTTCTTGTTGCCCGTATACTTCTCATAGTAGTAATTATTCGAATTGACAGTGCAGACAACCGGCACTGAAATGGGTGCTTGTAAGTTTTTCCCCACTCCTTGTAGATTCAACACAGGTTCGATTCCCAGTGCCTCCAGTTCTGCTTTCGGTCCAATTCCAGAGAGAAGAAGGACTTTCGGTGTCAAAATGGCACCGCAACAGACAATCACTTCCTTGTTGGCGATCACTTCCTTCATATCTCCAGTTTTGGAATCCAGATATTCGACACCTGGGTTTACTCAAAGATCAGTTCATTTTGAACTTCAAAATTAGTTTTCAGAATTTGTAAAGTCACACTGATGGCACGATTCCTCAAATGAAATTAAGATTCGGGAAACCTCTTTAAGGAATGAGAACAGGGGCGGATTTAGGAAGGGGGCGGGGGGGGGGGGCCGGGTTTCGGACGCCCCCCTTCAGGGATTCGACCCCCGGCCGACCCAAAGAGCCCCCCCTTTGATACTTTTTCAGAAATCCATTTTTGGCCGACCGACCCTAAAATTTTTCTAAAGGCGCCTTGGGCGCCAATATATACTAACTTTGAGCGGGAGCGCGCGCCGAAAAAAACGCGATTTTTTTGTCAAAATTTTTCAAAAAAGTGCCCAAAAACGGCTTTTTTGACTGTTTTTTTTTTTTCAAAAAATTGCCTGCGGCGCAGAAAATTTAGCAAAAATAGGGTCAAAACAGTGCTTTGGGAGAGCTCGAAAAATCAATTTGGTCGACCTAAAAAAAGGTCGTCAAAATTTTGGAAAATTTTTTGAAAATCCGCCCCCCTCGAGAAAATCCTAGATCCGCTCCTGAATGAGAAGACTTTAAAAATCTATTTTCTTTTAAAAAATTTATTTATCGTAAACTATATTCATTAGGGGAGATCTTAGTTAGAAGAGTTTTTATAACAGTTCTGTAGAAGAGAAGACACTTATGTTACCTGCTGCGTATGACTGTTCGATGATGACTTTTGATGCGTTGGTGTGACAGAGAACGTGCAGCTTCTCCCTGTGGAGCACCGGGTGCAGGTATGCCTGCGAGGGACTCCATCTCACCCCTTTGAAAGTGTGCGACTCAATCTGGGCGAAGCCTTCCATCTTGCCCCCGTTCAGGTCCCTGGTCAAATAAAAACTCTAATTGTTGCCTGATTTTGAAACGAAGAAGTCTTGGTTTCGAAAATTAGGATGCTTGCAGCTTTTTTTTTACGCCAAAGTTAAACAAGGATTTTTTGTTCCAGTGAAGCGTATGAAACATTTGACAACAAGAACACTTTAGTTTTTTGCCGTTACTGTTCTGCGTTTTGCTTACTCACAGTGGTATCCTTAAGTATGTTGTAAGTTTCCACACGTACAACACCGATGGTGGGGCATTAATACCACGCTATTCAATGATGGTGAGGTAGTGAAGGTAGCGAAGCGAAGGTCTATCGTCAACGGTATAGTACGGTAGCAAATCATAGACAAACTCATCGCTCTTTGAGTGAAGTCTTAAAAAAATTCACAGGTGCCGCGAAGGTCACCTTATAAAAGCGCTTTTCAAAGCCGAGCACAATTGATAGCATTAAATAATAGAACGATTTTACAAGGATAATAATTTAAATACTTGCATATCTGGAGGGATAACATTCCCTGGTCGCGCTCAAAATCTAATAGAGTTTTACAAGCTTTAATATAGAGTTGTATTTTTTTCACTCATTTCTTTTCTCTTTGCTGTTTGTTAGTTGAACCCTTTTCATCTTAATCTTTATCTTCGATTTGATGATTCCATCCTGTTGTGCCATCGAATTTGGTGGTTGCAGCCCGTTTTTGTCCGAATCCTTTTCTCGTTTCGATCGTGTTATCCTCCGCCGTCAGGTTTTCGTTCCCTCTCAGGTTCCTGCTAGCTCAGCTCCTGGTGTTCCATCCTGTCCGTTTAGCTCGCTGCCTGACAAAAATTTGATGACCAACTCTGTGATATTTCTTAGTCCGATGTCGACAAGGGTGTTACAAGGAAAATGAACCCGTCTTTTGGTTTGTTTGATATCCCTCTTAGGCTTTTCACATGGTGTGTTAGCTGTTTGGCTTGTTTATTGCCAGTTGCTGTGCTCCTGCCAGTCACTTGCTTTCTTTTGTGGCATTCGTGCTTGTTTACTGGTGCATTGCCCCAGTTGGTGTGTCCTAATGTGCTGCTGCGCTCACCCGACTTCTTTTGGATTTTCCCCCAAAGTTTTGCAGGTGCCTTGTACCAATAATTGTTTCCTAGTTGGCTGTTTTGCTATATCTTCTCATTTTGTCCTTCCGCAGTTTCGAAAAGCATTGGGGTGCAGGTACTCCGGGATTTTCAATGTATAAAAACTGTTAGCTCTTTTTATGACGGGTTGATATGTAGGCGAAAAAGTCACTTAGTAGTGTCGGTCGACAGTTTCTGTACATTTTTGGATCGATACGTAAGCAAATCCGTTGTTCCTAAGTCGGTTGAGTTGCTTTTCGATTGTTTGTACCCATGCAGTGTGTGCGGCGTACGTAACAATTTTCCCGTCTTGCGTTTTTTGTCGGAACATGAATGGCTTTCGTGCTATCATTAGCGAATTTTTATCCAGCTGTCTTAAGTTTTTGTGTGGTGATTTTTCTGTCACTTAAGTGTTATTGGATGCTGGTTTTTAAATGTCTAGAACTTGAAACTTGGCCCTCTGGCTGATCACTCTCCAGACTCACTATTTCTGAGTGTTTGCCTCTAGTTGCTCGGCGACCAATTATACCTTCACCTTCTCCCCAGCAGTCCGTATCGTATATTTGCTCCGGCGTGAGTTGCGGCCTCTCCAAGTTCTTTTTGTCTGAAGATAGTCTTACAACATCCCAGATTTTTGATTTTTGTTTCAGAAGTTCTGCTGATATTTTTCCATTTAGCATATAAGCTGTGACCTTACCTTTCATCCATTCATCTTCTCGATCTCCACAGTCTGCCTTGGATGCTAATTCTACTATCTTCGCGTGGAAATGCTCCAGCGGTTTGTTTCTCTTCTATATTCTGCAGTTGAAGTTCTATTTTTCAAATTCTGTTTTTTCTGCTACAAAAATACCTTTAGGACATTGTCTGTAACATGACAGAAGTAGCAGGTGTAACTTTAATGCTCGTTTTTGCCTTATCCCATGTTTTTGTTTCGCTTAGTACTCCATTACTAACTATTCGTTGTATTATGTCTCTGTGTTTTTTTTCCGCTATTTCTTCTTCTAGAAATAGTGACGGTGGTCTACGTGGAGTAGTAGGTCGGCTCCATAGTAGTTTGCGAATGTCGATGTTTTCTTTGGCTAAAATCGTCGCCATCTGGAGTCCTACAATCCACTTGGGACATTCCACTGGCGGTTCAGCTGCGTTTTTGTGTCAGAATGGCAGAATAGTTCTTCTGATCTGCTGACTGCGGCATACAATGCGTATTGTTCACCCATAGTGGTATCCTTAGATATTTTGTACCGTTTCACTCGGAGATTGCTATCCCTCAGTAAGGTAACTCCTAAGTCTGAGAATAGACATTGTGGTCTTAGAAGTGGAGGTCTATTGCCGATTGCAGTTTACGCATTACGAAGCCAAACTGTGCATTTTGTGAATTGAAAACGGATTCCGCAACAAGGACGCTCCCTTTGTTCTTCTTTTGTTCTTTCATTTTAAGGTGTGTGAAAAGACGGTTTCGAGGTGTTAATTTAATCCTTTTTAATACGTAACCGTAGTTCATAAAGTTAGTCGGAGACAATAAAATAGCTGTCATCCGAAGGTGACAGACAAACTCCGAAGGTTAAATACCAGTTAGCGCCAGACAGATAAATGAATTAAGTAGCACAACTAGAAATGGGACTTGAACTAAATTTAGATACCATGACATTTCCCTCCTTGTAAAAATTAATGACTCTAATTACGTATCCAATGCATCAATGTTAACAGTAATCAATAGGGTTAATAACAAGTTTTGTCACTCAACTACAACACCTTTAAAACACAAACTTTTGAGTTTTTGCCGTTTCACAGCATGCCCTCTCCCTGGACGTACATATGACAGTTTTGTAAATTGTTTATATAAGTTTGTTACTCACACTTCTTTTTCTCCTCCTTTTCATTTGGCTCCTGACTTATCCGTCTTTTGGATGTTATCGATCATGACTGCCCCCATCTTAGTCACTGCGGTTCATTTTCTTCCCGACCGTCTAGAACTAGTTTCATCCAGTGAACTAGCTGAATCCTGACGTGTTATCCTCCGCCGTCAGGTTTTCGTTCCCTCTCAGGTTCCTGCTAGCTCAGCTCCTGGTGTTCCATCCTGTCCGTTTAGCTCGCTGCCTGACAAAAATTTGATGACAAACTCTGTGATATTTCTTAGTCCGATGTCGACAAGGGTGTTACAAGGAAAATGAACCCGTCTTTTGGTTTGTTTGATATCCCTCTTAGGCTTTTCACATGGTGTGTTAGCTGTTTGGCTTGTTTATTGCCAGTTGCTGTGCTCCTGCCAGTCACTTGCTTTCTTTTGTGGCATTCGTGCTTGTTTACTGGTGCATTGCCCCAGTTGGTGTGTCCTAATGTGCTGCTGCGCTCACCCGACTTCTTTTGGATTTTCCCCCAAAGTTTTGCAGGTGCCTTGTACCAATAATTGTTTCCTAGTTGGCTGTTTTGCTATATCTTCTCATTTTGTCCTTCCGCAGTTTCGAAAAGCATTGGGGTGCAGGTACTCCGGGATTTTCAATGTATAAAAACTGTTAGCTCTTTTTATGACGGGTTGATATGTAGGCGAAAAAGTCACTTAGTAGTGTCGGTCGACAGTTTCTGTACATTTTTGGATCGATACGTAAGCAAATCCGTTGTTCCTAAGTCGGTTGAGTTGCTTTTCGATTGTTTGTACCCATGCAGTGTGTGCGGCGTACGTAACAATTTTCCCGTCTTGCGTTTTTTGTCGGAACATGAATGGCTTTCGTGCTATCATTAGCGAATTTTTATCCAGCTGTCTTAAGTTTTTGTGTGGTGATTTTTCTGTCACTTAAGTGTTATTGGATGCTGGTTTTTAAATGTCTAGAACTTGAACCTTGGCCCTCTGGCTGATCACTCTCCAGACTCACTATTTCTGAGTGTTTGCCTCTAGTTGCTCGGCGACCAATTATACCTTCACCTTCTCCCCAGCAGTCCGTATCGTATATTTGCTCCGGCGTGAGTTGCGGCCTCTCCAAGTTCTTTTTGTCTGAAGATAGTCTTACAACATCCCAGATTTTTGATTTTTGTTTCAGAAGTTCTGCTGATATTTTTCCATTTAGCATATAAGCTGTGACCTTACCTTTCATCCATTCATCTTCTCGATCTCCACAGTCTGCCTTGGATGCTAATTCTACTATCTTCGCGTGGAAATGCTCCAGCGGTTTGTTTCTCTTCTATATTCTGCAGTTGAAGTTCTATTTTTCAAATTCTGTTTTTTCTGCTACAAAAATACCTTTAGGACATTGTCTGTAACATGACAGAAGTAGCAGGTGTAACTTTAATGCTCGTTTTTGCCTTATCCCATGTTTTTGTTTCGCTTAGTACTCCATTACTAACTATTCGTTGTATTATGTCTCTGTGTTTTTTTCCGCTATTTCTTCTTCTAGAAATAGTGACGGTGGTCTACGTGGAGGAGTGGGTCGGTTCCATAGTAGTTTGCGAATGTCGATGTTTTCTTTGGCTAAAATCGTCGCCATGTGGAGTCCTACAATCCACTTGAACCATTATACTGGCGGTTCAGCTGCGTTTTTGTGTCAGAATGGTAGAATAGTTCTTCTGATCTGCTGACTGCGCCATGTAATGCGTATTTTTCACCCATAGTGGTATCCTTAGATATTTGGTACCATTTCACTCGGAGATTGCTATCCCTCAGTAAGGTAACTCCTAAGTCTGAGAATAGACATTGTGGTCTTAGAAGTGGAGGTCTATTGCCGATTGCAGTTTACGCATTACGAAGCCAAACTGTGCATTTTGTGAATTGAAAACGGATTCCGCAACAAGGACGCTCCCTTTGTTCTTCTTTTGTTCTTTCATTTTAAGGTGTGTGAAAAGACGGTTTCGAGGTGTTAATTTAATCCTTTTTAATACGTAACCGTAGTTCATAAAGTTAGTCGGAGACAATAAAATAG